ATGATGAACACCTGCTGTTATTGAGAATTACAGAGGATCAGATGTTGATGTTTGATTGGTTAAAATGATGCCACCATCATGGAGATCAGTGTTTGCTTTAGTTGAGCTCTTGACCCCTGACTTCTTGTGTTAGATTTCTCTCTAACGCTTCATGTTACAGTGAGCAGCTATTTAGCTGTTTTATATGATGAGATAGTCATCATGAGCTGTCCTGAATACAACCAAAATAGCTTTTTTTTTAATTTTTTATACTATTTATATGTTAAAGGGGTCATATGATATGATTACAATTTTTCCTTTCTCTTTGGAGTGTTACAAGCTCTTGGTGCATAAAGAAGATCTGTAAAGTTGCAAAGACTATTAAGTTGTATTTACAACACTGTTCCAGAACAGTTCAACCCAAATATTCAGATGTGTGCAGCACATTTTATGGAGGACTGTTTCCTGATCCTGGTAGAGTAGGATCAGGAAGTGCGCTGCTCGGCTGCGCACTGCGTTTCAGCATTTGTTTGCTATGTCTGTTTTCTTTTGTAGTATGTTTTTCTGTGTTGTAAAGTAATGAGTATATTTTTGACTTCGGTAAAAGCGGAAGAATGATCGTCCGAAAAGTTGTATTTTTGGCTCTGACTTTGAGGATTATTGGTGCATGTGAAACATGGTTGGAGCCTGCGCATGGAACCGAGAGAACCGAGAGAATGGAGTTCAGCGGTCTGAATTCATCACCATCATTACCCGTTCATCGGTACAGCCGAAAGGCTCGATTGGAGATAAATACAAGGATGCCTCCTAGGATGGTTACGAGTTACCTAAAAAACCTAGAGGTGGAAGTAAATATACCACAGGAGGTGGTTAGACCAAAAAGGAAGAAACGTGGGATAAGGGGTGGCATAAAGACTCGTCTTCGTCGGAGATTCAGCCGGCCGCCGCTACCCTCCATCATCTTCTGCAATTTGCGTTCTTTGAACAACAAAGTGGACACCTTAAAATCGTACGTAAGGTACTGTAATGAATACCGCAAAGCTTCTTTATTATGTTTTACGGAAAGCTGGCTACACCCTACAATGCCTGACACTCTTTTTGAACTTCCTGGCTTCACCTTGGTACGGGCAGACAGGGATAAAGACTCGGGAAAAAGTAGAGGAGGGGGGACATGTGTGTACATAAATGACATGTGGTTCCGTGCGCACTAAGTCAAATGTAAGATCTGTGACCACAATGTAGAAATCCTTGGCATGATTCTAAGACCCTTTTACTTGCCAAGAGAATTCGGATGTGTCCTACTATTTGTCGTCTATGTCCCGCCCAGCGGCAAACCATCACAAGCGGCCAGTCTGATAGCTGACAAGGTACATGAACTGCAACTCTGCAACCCTGAAGCCCCCGTTATAGTGCTTGGAGATTTTAATCGGCACAATTTGGAACAAGCGCTGCCAGGATTTGAACAATATGTTAAGCTAGGAACAAGAAAAGATAATATTTTGGACAAGTGCTTTGTGAATGTCAAGAATGCCTATGTATCTAAATATAGACCACCAGTACTGAATTCTGATCACAATGTGGTGTACATGATTCCAGTATACAAAACAAAGTTAAAACAGGGAAAATTGGAAAAGAAAGTAATAAGAGTATGGTCAGATGAAAGTAGAGAGAACTTAAGAGGTTGTTTTGATTGTACAAACTGGGACATTTTCCATGATGGAACATTGGATGAAAGAACTGAAGTAATCAATGACTATATTAACTTTTGGGTGCAACTGGTAATACCCACAAAGAATATTAAAGTATATCCAAACAATAAATCTTATGTCACCAAGGATATTAAGGAAATTATAAATAGATGGAATGTAGCAGTTAGAAATAAAGATCCTAAAGAACTGAAAGAGACTGAAAAAGAATTAAAAAGTAAAATGAGGAAGCTAAAGAAGCTCACAGACAGTGCTTAGAATAAGCCTTCAAAACCAAAAACAATAAGAAAGTCTGGGATACCATGAACAAGATGACAGGTTTATCCTCTCCAAACAATGTATTGTAACAGACAATGAAGTCAGCTTTGCTAATGAACTAAATACATTTTTTACAAGATTTGAACCCACAATCAACAATGAACCAGTTAACATCGTATCGTCTTCCTCCCAAAAGATAGTGATCGATGTTGCGGAAGTTAGGAAGACATTTCGGTCTGTTAATACTAGAAAAGCTGTTGGTTGATTTGACAGAAATTTGGTTTTCCCCGGTCGTTGTTAGGGTACGTTAAACCATTTTAAGCTGTTTCTTTATAATGGACTTCTAGGGGGGAGAAAACGCTTAACGTGATATTATTCACTTTATGTGTGGAATAAGGGCTCGTTCTTTTGACAGTAGTTAGTGTTTATTACAAGTAAGGTTTGAAAGAAATTTGGGTTTCCCTGGTCGGTGTTTAGGTACGTTAAGCCACGTTAAGCGTTTTTCATGTTATGCATTTTAGAATGTCCCTCTTCGGGGACAGTTATTGTTTGTATCCGTTATGGAATGACTTACACTCAAAAAAACTACGTCTTGGTAGTAAAAAGCAACATGGTTTTGTAGCATACAGTGTCACAAACAGAATGAGACCATCCACTAAAAAAAAGTCAAAGATACGCGGAATATTGTTTATTTTAATTCTGGCGCTCTCTTGTGATGGCTCATGACGCACACTGTGACGCACCTGTCATCTGATGGGGGTGTAACTTAGCGATCTGGTTTTTGCACAAATAATTTTTTTTTTTCAACATTTTTCATATACTGTATGTGTGTGTGTTTTGTGGGGAATGTGGCTGTATATGCACGATTACCATCTGTATGAGCGCACATCAGCGTGTGATTACTGTCTGTATGACCAGTAATCAGTGTGAATGCGGTCTATATGAATAGAGTGTGATTATTGACTATATGACCGGTCATCTGTATGAGCGGCCATCAGCATGTGATTACTGACTGTATGAGCAGCTATCAGTGTGAATGCTGTATGTCTAGCAGAACCCTTCAATACATTTGGTAAATATTTTTACTCAAACGGGGGGTGTGGGGGAGGAGGGGACTAGACAGTCTCAGAAAAATGGTTGCAGGGATCTCATTTTTCATAGTATCTTCTTCAGATTTGAAATAGAAACTCATGAGAATGAAAATTGTGTGTGTAGCATTGACCTACCATTTTAAGTTAGGTAGGTCATTTTCAGCTGTGAGTCCCAAAATGGGGGGTGCAGGTTAACAGGTTAAACTAATAAATTTTGCTTGGTTGGAACAGCAGCTATAATTATGTCTCTATTGGTTTCTCTGTTTTTGCCTGGAAGTCAGTTGTATGTTTGGAGAAGGTTCTTATAACAAAAACTGTTAGCTGAGTGTGCACTTATACTGTGAGAGCACTGTGATATCACTGTGATAGTGTTGAGAAACAGGATATAGAAAGCCTCCTCGGTGACCGATATTTGAACTGCCTCCTCTCAACCTGCTCAACATTTTGAATTCACAATGAGCTCACATATTACTCACACTGTGAGTATGGCCGGATGAGAATGGTAAATAGTTTGTAGAACCCTTCAATACATTTGGTAAATATTTTTACTCAAACGGGGGGTGTGGGGGAGGAGGGGACTAGACAGTCTCAGAAAAATGGTTGCAGGGATCTCATTTTTCATAGTATCTTCTTCAGATTTGAAATAGAAACTCATGAGAATGAAAATTGTGTGTGTAGCATTGACCTACCATTTTAAGTTAGGTAGGTCATTTTCAGCTGTGAGTCCCAAAATGGGGGGTGCAGGTTAACAGGTTAATCATTCTCTGCTGAGATCACGAAAGATTTAATGTCTTTTGTATTTCAGTTGATTTCATCGAAGGCTGTGTCTGGAAGTCAGTTGTATGTTTGGAGAAGGTTCTTATAACAAAAACTGTTAGCTGAGTGTGCACTTATACTGTGAGAGCACTGTGATATCACTGTGATAGTGTTGAGAAACAGGATATAGAAAGCCTCCTCGGTGACCGATATTTGAACTGCCTCCTCTCAACCTGCTCAACATTTTGAATTCACAATGAGCTCACATATTACTCAAACTGTGAGTATCACAGTATGAGAATGGTGTGATGTCACTGTGATCATCGCATGATCTCACGTGTTGACTGGGGAGAATCTGGAATCTCTTGTTCTGAGAGACTGTTTATGATTTATTGGGATTGTATAAAAAATGAGTGGGTGGATTTTTACCATTATAGGCTGGTTGTTTTCACACAACTGTTTTCAAACACATTATAAAAGTGATTTTTGCATAATAGGTCCACTTTAAAATACATGACAATCACTAAATAAGTAGTTGAGGTTAATCTTAATGTTTTAATGTATCCATGTACCCTAGTGTGGTTTAATTGTGCTAACTTATTTATCAAACAACTATTACAAAAATATGATTATATTGAAATTCTTGTTTAGAATACTGAATTATCAAGTTATTATGAACTAAGGCCACATTTTTACTAGCATACTTAAGTTCTTGACCATCAGTTGCATTTCTGAATGTCATTTAAAACAGTATTCATATATTTTTCAGAACAAGAAAAGACATATCCAGAGAATAAGGAGTCCCTTACGGTATACCCGCCCCTATCAGCCAAGGTTTGAAGGGAAAAACCTGCATTCACGGTAAGGATATGCATAAAAAAAAAAAAGATGAAGGCAGAATACAGGTCTGGGAATGTGCAAACCAAACCTGTTTCTGGAGGGCCACTGTCTTGCAGAGTTTAACTCCAACCCTAATTAAACACACCTTAACCAGTTAATCAAAGTCTTCTGACCATGTCCACATGTACACAGGTATTTTTATAAACAGTTTTTCTTTCTTCCTTTTCTAAAAAAATCTCTGTCCTCATAAAACCGTAAAAGCATGCTATGAAGCACTGTCAAGAGCATGCCAAACCAACAGGTAGCGATATAATCTCAACCGTAAAGCCATATTGGCCAATCAGAAGCCTGAAAACGTTTCCGGTAGGCGGAGATAACAGTGCATGCTCTGATGTCACAAGTCAAAAACTCCGGTTTCGCTGTCTACATGATAACACTGAAACCGGAGTTTTTGAAAATTTTCACCCTGGCAGGAGTTTTCAAAAATGTTTGGTTTCAGTGACCTGTTGCTGCGTTTGCGTGTGGACGAACGGGCAAACCGCATAGAAAAAGCTGCGGATTTGAAAATACCCGCATTCGTGTGGACAGGGCCTCAGACTCACTAGAAACTTCCAGGCAAGTGTGTTGGAACTGTTGCAGGACATTGGTCCTCCAGGAGTAGAATTGAACACCTCTGGTGCAAACTCTAATAAAGAAAGAGAGAAGATACAGACATGTAGCTGCCTCTATACACTATAAAAATGCAAATGCATATTTTCCAGTTTACGAATCCTTTTGAGTCTCAAATACTAAGAAATGCACTTTTCTTGAAACTACATAAAAACCCTTGTCAGACCAACAGAATTACCCCAAATGTTGTCCCAACTAGTCAAACGTTCTTCTGAAAAAAGAATTTCATATTGCTGAAATGTTAAGGCTTTGTGAGTTCCCAGCATGCATTGCAGCATGAATAAATAATGCAGTTACTGTTATAGGGTTATTGTTTTGTTGTTTGTTGGCTTCATTTAAAACTTTTTTTTGCTGTTGCTTTGTCATTATTGTTAGTGTTGTGCTGTGATGTGATGTAAAGAGCTCATCTTTTTTACATTTGTTGATTACCACCATTCTTGAGGTTTGTGTGCCAAATATTGAGGCCTAGAGTATGTTCACCTACTTAAATCTATATCGAGGATATTTTAGTCTTGTAGGATGCTTTACAAACAAAGACATATTAGACTAAGTTATCCATTATGGTTTTTATAACATTTTACTTTGTTCTTGATACCATCATTATAACTTTACTGAGGTAAACTGATAAAGAAATTAGTCCATGTTTGTCATAAAAAATTATAATGTGGTGACTTTTTTCACATTCTTTTTTTTTCGTCCAGGAAACAGGAAAAAAAAAAATCTTAACAACAGTAATTATTGTTTCAGTTGCTGTGACAAGAATTTTTCTATTAGAAAAATATAAAACTTTAAAACATTTTCTTTCTGTTCAACCTCTGAGTAACTCCGGCGCGCCTTACCCGTCCAATGCCGTGAGTATCAAACTTGAGCAACCTTGATTTTTTTTCCGTCCGACTGTCAGAGAGGCTTACCTGTCGGATGCTGTGAGTATTGAACTCCCATCAGACGCTGCACTTCAAATTTAGTTTAGCCTGTCCATCAGCCAGTTGGGCTCACCTGTCCGATGCTTTAACCTGTTAACCTGAAATCAGTCCTGGAGCAATCCAGAAAAGTAATGAGTTGAAAGTCACACGTCTCATGAGTTTATATTTAAAATTTTAAGAAGATACTATGAAAAATGAGATTCCTGCAACCATTTTTCTGAGACTATGTCTAGTCCCTCCCCCCCAAATGGATATTATATTATATATATTAAATATATTATGGAAAAATAGCCACCAAATGTATTGAAGGGTTCTACAAACTATTTTAGTCATTATACATACCACTGCACAAGACATTGTATAAGTGATTTATTTGAGCACTAGAAAAATACAATAAGAATAATTTTTGAGTAATATAAATAAAAAATTTTAAAAAAGAATTAACTTTGTATGTCAAGTACATATTTTGATTGCCAGACATGCAGCATTCACACTGATTGCTGGTCATACAGTCAGTAATCACATGCTGATGTGCAGTCATACAGATGGTAATCATACAGATACAGCCACATTCCCCACAAAAACACACACACATATATGAAAAATGTTGAATAGGCAAAAAAAAAGAATTATTTGTGCAAAAAGCTGATCGCTACGCCCCCATCAGATGACAGGTGCGTCACAGTGTGCGTCATGAGCCGTCACAAGAGAGCGCCAGAATTCAAATAAACAAGATTCCGCGTATCTTTGACTTTTTTTTAGTGGATGGTCTCATTCTGTTTGTGACACTGTATGCTACAAAACCATGTTGCTTTTTACTACCAAGACGTAGTTTTTTTGAGTGTAAGTCATTCCATAACGGATACAAACAATAAATGTCCCCGAAGAAATGAGACGTAAACAAAGGAATAACCATTCATATTACAACGTTATTGTTTTGTTGGACTAAAAGTGCTCTTTGGGATGTCGTTCAGTGGACCCTTGCCTTTGTAACTAAATTAGGGTTTACAGCAGTGGATGCGTTTGTGACTCGTTATTACGATGAATCTGGTACGTACTGGGTTTTTATTAAGCATGTTTTGATGTGTACTGCTTACACAAATTTAGCAAACACATTCCTTATAAGCTTTCCATTGAAAAACAGCGATCAATCATCGATGCTTCAGTCTTAGACCTTTAGAATGATATATAGTTTGCCAAGATTAATTTTGTCCCTTTTCATTTAATCTATTCGTAAACATTGACACGTGCAAACAAAGAGCGTTCAGTGCGCTGGCGTCCAGGTTAACAGGTTAAATATCAGGTAACCATTTGGCCCTTATCTACACACGCTACTGCTCAACTGACAACACTTTAGTTACGCCATTGTACACCTCAGACCACTTCCTCATCACTTCTAACCTCACACTGACTCTGGACACAACACACACTCCTCCACAGGTCACCTTTCGGCATAAACTATGCTCGCTCTCTCCCACTCGCCTATCCTCTATGGTTTCATCCTCACTTCCTCCACCCTTTCAGTTTTCAGCACTGGACACAAACACTGCTACGGACATTCTTTGCTCCACTCTAACATCTTGCTTAGACAACGTTTGCTCCCTTTCATCCAGACCAGTACGCACCACCTCCTCTGCCCCCTGGCTGTCTGATGTTCTCCAGGAACATCGCTCTAGACTCAGGGCTGCAGAGAGGAAGTGGCGCAAATAAAAAAAATCTACTGACCTTAGTGTATATCAGTCACTCCTCCTTCTCTGCAAGTGTCTCCACTGCTAAAACAACATACTACCACAACAAAATTAACAACTCTTCTGACTCTCGCATGCTTTTCAAAACCTTTTCTTCTCTTCTTTGTCCTCCTCCACACCCTCCTCCATCAACTCATACTGCTGATGACTTTGCAATATTCTTCATAAATAAAACAAGAACCATCAGCGACCAATTCAAAAAACCTTCATAACCATAAATACTCATTCTCTCTCCTCTTTCTATCCACTCTCAGAGGCAGACGTTTCTAAACGTATCCTTTCCAATCATCCTACTACCTGTCCACTTGATCCTATCCCCACTCACCTCCTTCAGGCCATTTCTTCTTCAGTTATACCCACGCTCACTCACATTATCAACACCTCTCTTGACTCTGGTACATTTCCCACAGCATTCAAGCAGGCTTGGGTAACCCCACTGCTTAAGAAACCCTCTCTAAATCCAGCACTTTTAGAAAACTACAGACTGGTAACCCTTCTTCCGTTCATTGCAAAGACACTTGAGCGAGTTGTGTTCAACCAACTCTATGTTTCTTGCACAGAACAACCTCATGGACGGCAACCAGTCTGGCTTCAAAAGTGGCCACTCAACTGAGACTGCACTGCTCTCGGTTACTGAAGCCCTGAGACTGGCAAGAGCAGCTTCCAAATCCTCAGTACTCATCTTGCTGGATCTGTCTGCTGCTTTTGACACAGTTAACCACCAGATCCTCCTGTCCACCCTCATGTCGATGGGCATCTCAGGAACCGCACTCCAGTGGTTCAAGTCTTACCTCTCTGGCAGGTCCTTCAGGGTGTCTTGGAGGGGGGAGGTTTCTAAGTCACAACTTCTTGCTAATGGGGTTCCTCAAGGCTCAGTGCTTGGACCTCTTATGTTCTCCGTCTACATGTCATCATTAGGATATGTCATTCAGAGGCTTGGATTTTCCTATCATTGCTATGCTGATGACATTCAACTGTACTTCTCATTCCAACCAGATGATCCGACAGTAGCTGTTCGCATTGCAGCCTGTCTGACAGACATTTCTGGCTGGATGAAGGATCATCACCTTCAACTCAACCTTGCTAAGACAGAACTGCTCGTGATCTCAGCCAACCCAGCACTTCATCACAACCTCTCTATACAGCTAGGTTTGTTAACCATAACTCCTTCCAGGTCAGCCAGGAACCTTGGAGTTGTGATGGATGATCAGTTAAGCTTCACAGACCATATTGCTACAACGGCCCGGTCTTGCAGGTTTGCCTAATACAACATTAGGAAGATTAGACCCTTGCTATGTGCACTGTGCTAGACTAACTGAGACTTGTCACATCACTTGTATATTGTTGCTCTCTCGTTGGTCTGATTGCTTCTACTTTGTAAGTCGCTTTGGATAAAAGCGTCTGCTAAATGACTAAATGTAAATGTAAATTCCTACCGTCAAGAAGCGGTGTGAGTCCTCCTGATTTGGCTTCCCAAATCAAACTGTTCCTCGTCCATCGGCTAGTAGGGCCCAATCTGCTCAATGCTGCATAACATCTCAAAGGTCTGTGGCTTTGGCAGTGTTTCTGTTCAAATATACTATATTGGGAGTGTCTGCCCAGCGCTGCGTGCTGCTCCTGTTGGAGGCAGTACTGGCCCCTGGTCGGATGGCCCAAAACACACTGCTCCTCATTTTTTTGC